TTCACGGTAAATGCTGCATATGTTGGCTCAATCGGAAATTACCTTTAAATTTCAATTGCACTATACCACGGATCTTCTGCGATACTGATTGAATCGAGCCCTTAGTGTTTAACAAAGAGCAGTAAGTGAGTTTCTGAGCAACAGTAGTCACTGCTCATTTGTTCAACAGGACATTTGAACTGATGTATTGTATCTGTACACAGAGCTTGCTTTTGATTTTATGTAGAATATATTGTTTAATGATATTTCACATCTCTTTTGATATCCCAGTTTTTTACTATGTTTTGTTCCATTGTATTGAAAGCGACTTTTATTTTGAAAACGTCACTCCATGGATGTTGAATAAATAAAGATTTTTTGAACCATACTGCAACTGTGTCATGACCTGAAGAAACCTCATGAAAGGTGTTATGAATGCCTGTGTATACCCATTCAAGTAAAGTGTTTTTCAGTGGGGTATCCTAATATACTATACTATACAGTGTAGTACAGCAGAGACAAATGCAAAAGATTTGACACATGGTAGGTGTTTATTAGGTGGGTTTTTCTCCAACATTACAAACAGCGCAATAAGGGGGAAAGCAATATAAAAACTGACCATTATACAAAAAAGACAGAGGATTGACGTAAAGCAACCAAAGTCAAAGGGATATGGAGACAAGTGGACCTGCAAATACAGTGGTATAAACGTCTTATATATATTTATATTTACATATATATTAATTTGTAATTGCATGGGAAAAGAAACAAAATGTACAATGCTACAAAAAAGTATTTACAGGTTAATAAATAAAGCCAACACACACACAAAATCTAAAGTACAAAGGACATTGAGTCTTTTATAATACAAAAAATACAAAAATAATATAGAAAAAACATTGAACAGGTAATCGGTAGAAAGTTCTGAGTCTTTGACAGTGATGGAGAGCGATGAGGCATGGGGACATATTCCTGATCAAACAGTGTTTCTGAGAGGGACTAACTTAGATTGATCGGTGCAGTCTTTGGCCCTTGCTTTTACCAAAAACAACACATAGACACAGAAGAGAGTCTCTTTCACATACTAACACACAGACTAACATTTGTGAAACCTGAAATGTTGACATCTTTTTGACAGATCCCCATCTCCAACCTCTCTGATATATAGATATTCTGGGTAGCTGGGGAGGGGACACAAAGACATTAGCAAAAAAAAGAGAAAAAATAGGCACATATTCCTAAAATGAACTCTCACTTACACCCACGCATTAACTCGGAACTTACACAAAAGTTTGAGATGTGCAGATGGATCTCCAGTTAAAGGATCCATCCCTCATTCATTGACCAAACACATAAGTTGTCTTTAACCACAGATCTAGGTTTAGCGTTCCCAACCTCAATCCTAACCTTGGTCATAGGAGGTAGGAATAGATGCTGACCTTGAATCAGGGCTTAGGGGCAACTTCCATCAACACCACCGATATGAAGTCCAGCGAATCACGTAAGGGCAGTAGACTCCCGGACCCCAATATTCACAAACATACAGCATCCTTATCAACACCATCACTGTCACCAACCAGCACAGTTGAATGCATTAATAACGCAGTACTTACATGCTATATCTATGACTAGGGAGAGGCTATACGGACACGCCTGGTGCCCAAATGGATGACGTATGTCGCGCAGCTGAGAGTCGAGTGTGGATTTGGTTCAGTCAGTCGTCCTGATAGGCCCTTCCCAGCTAGTTTATGCTGGCTAGCTGGCAACAGCAGCAGAATGGCGCTAGTTAAAACTTGTAAAAGAAAGTGATGGGCGAGGGAGAAATAACTTGTAGTATTGGTCACCATCTCCAATTTGTTCCATCCCACTTGATTTTATTTTGAGTAGGATAGCAGCCTACACGAAAAATAACTTGTAATGTTGGTAGTAACCATCTGGATGGATGTCACCGTTATACAGTCTACACTGCCCAATGGGGAGAGTTTGCACTGCAAGCCAACAGCACAACAACACCGGGCACCGTGTCCTTCAATCCCGTTTGCCGCACTAAGGGGAGGGAAGTAGATAGATAGTGTAGCCAATAGTGATTTTCACCGAAAAATGTACTACTCCGACATTAACCTCTAACGTTACATTTTTGTAAAAGAAATAACAATTACTCAGACAAAAACAGAATGATTCTGAACACTCCCAAGTCCCAACTTCGGCCGACAAGTTTCAAGTTCCGTCTGAACTGAACTGACTGAACCGAATCCGTTCGTCACCACTAGACTCTCACTGCGCGACAAACATCATCAATTTGGGCACCAGGAGTGTCCATATAGCCCCTCCCCTATGACCACCCATCTTTATGATAACTGACATATGAAAAACTATCATTATAGTACCTGAAAACATTTCCATGGCTTTACTATTAGGCACATCAAGGATGTGTTGTGAAATGTAAATTCAATGTTTCGAACTGTTGTGGCATGTTATAGGATTTATGTGGCAGTTGACATACCCTTTTTACACTACTGTACTGAGCTGGGCCAAGCTGTACTGCGCTGGCCTAGTTATGCATCAACCATAGTTGCTGGAACTGTGCTGGAAAGCACCATGTTAAAATAAAATATCAGAGCCAGCCAGCACACTACGGTTCAGGTTGGTATAATATGTAAAAAGGCTATAGAAGTAAAGTATAACCAGCCTACATATAGCTTGCTCTCTGATAGAGACCCAATCCTGTGTCCCTATTAGAATGTTTATTGTCATGCACAGGACAGTGTGACACGGTCACAGTCAAAAAGTCACTAATTTCAGGAAACCCTTCGAGCATGAACACAGACTTTAACACTGTAATCCACAATACCACTGACAAAAATGGCTGCTGATAATTAGGGACATTGGGTTTGATCCTAAGTGCTGCAATACTGTAAGAAATTGATTGACATGGGGTACTACAAACCAAGGACTCGTTATCAGATTATCTTCAATCAAAGTCATTGAGAAAGAATCACACATCTGTGCAAGGAGTCTCTCAACAGCAAGAAAACTCACTCCCCCACTGCAATCTCTATGCTCCCAAAAACAGGCTATGATCCTATCTCATAGTCCACTCTTCTCTGTTCTTTGGCACACGTGGAGTGGACTAGTATGTTTTAACTTGAGTTGCTCTTTTCCTCTCTTTCATTTATCTCCTGAATGAACTGAATTGAAAGGAAGTTGACCCCAACCCTGGTACACAAGGAAGAAAGGCCTCAGTGAAAGAGAGAAAGAAAGGAGGGAGCAGACAAGAAGAACAGTCCTTTCATTCTTCTTTTTTTCTTTACACTACAGGGAACAAAAAGACCAGACATTTAAAGACCACGGTTCATTTCACAATACAACATTCATGTTTCCATCTCTGTCCATCTCTCTCTCTCTCGCTCTTGCTCTTTCTCTGAGTGCTTGAGTACTTTACACACACACACACACACACACACACACACACACACACACACACACACACACACACACACACACACACACACACACACACACACACACACACACACACACACACACAAAGGGAGCACAGTGTCCTTTTACATAAGCTTCTCTCCTTCTGCAAGTCATTGACAAGAGGGTCTATCACACATGGGGTCCATCAAATGGCTTGGAGCTAACTGCTTACTGAGGGAGTGGTCACCATGCCAACAACAGTCATTTTGTGCCACTCGGCTCACATGTAGGCAGTTCTGCTCTCTAAGGCATTGCCAACCCAGGAAAAGCCATGTTTGAGCTGCATGGCCGCCCGGCATTGTGCATTTCAAGCTACCATTTCAGGTACTCTAATTGGCCCCATGTTCTTTTGGGTATTACAGAAATGCACACATTAAAACTGCAAATACTGAACCAAAATGGATGCTTGATGCCTCAGTTGCACTATTTCCATGAACCATCGTCATTAAGCCCTCATGGCCACCTACTCCTTCTCGTTGGCCCAGCTGTCAGGAGAGAGCCTCTCTCTCAAACGCTAGTGTGAAACTGAAGACATCAGGCATGAAAGCAAAGGGGAGGGAGGGAGCGGGTTGGTTGTAGCATTTCATTGTCCGTTAGCACCACTTGGCGTAATAAGACGCAAAGCACAATCAATGCAGAGCGCTGCCGCATCAAAGCAGTGACAAAAGTAGGTATTATTGAATGCCTGTAGTAATAATAATGCCTCATTTGTGTGAATAGTGTTAGTTTAACAAACTGGACATGTTCCCATTATAAGAAAGGAGTTAAAAGGAGTAAAGTCTCTGGTGATTGGTCAACAACCAGATGTAGACACCCAGTAGGGGCCTTTCTCTCCCAAATTCCTTGTAGTGGTCTCCCTCCGCAAGCTGGCAGTACTGAGCATCTGTTCAACTGTCCATCTTTCTCAGTCCGTGTGTCGCGGAACGTCGTAGAAACAGATGCAGTTGTTGGTAGTGTAGAAAGGAGTGTAAAAAAGGAGTAACATCCAGAGAAACATGCTGCATCCGCTGAGGGAGAGTTCTGTAGAAATAATAGGGAGTGTAACTCCTTTAGAGGGAAGGCATTTTCAGAAGCACCTGGATGACATTGTTACCACTTTCCCTCAGGTTTTCCCTCTTGAGTGCTCGCTCTCGATTAGGACATCCACAGAGAGCTGAAGCTAACAGGAAGGGATATTGGGCTCATAGGAAGTGACCTGGCCTTTGTGGAACATGGGTTGTGGCCTGGTTAGGAAACACCTGGGAGAGGGGTCAGATGTGGGTATGTAAGCATACCCAGCATCCACACAGAGTCACTGCTTCCACAAGTGCAGTCGGCTACCTCGCAAAATGGAGTCCAGTGCAAGTTCATTGGCCTATAGGGCTGTCCATACCACTCAGCTTTATTGGTCCTCTGAGGCTTTGACGCTCAGACGCCGAACACACAACAGAGCTGGCGACAGGCTCCTCTACCATGGCACAGAAAGGGTGGCACTAAAAGATGGCACCCAGAGAGCCCAGCAGGAAGCGGGGAGGTGGGCGAGGACATGGTGTGGCCCCTCAGAAGATGCCCTTGGCGATTTTCAGGCCTTTCTGCTTCATGCGCGGCAGGGTGGAGCTGGCTACGTGCTTGGTCCGGCCTACCTTGGGGAAGCCACGTTTCTTCAGGACAAAGTCGTAGTTGGCCGAGGAGTTCATGGCATAGAAAACGTTGGCATTGTCTGGAATCTTCAGCTCTGTAGACGGAAGGGGGTGCAAAAGAAACATGGTATGGTTAAAAGACACATTGAACCAACAGGCAAGAGGGAATGTTAAAATCTGGTTAAGAAGTTGGACAGAGAGATTGTTAGACAAGGCGTACAGTGTGGAGATATTTCTAAAAAGTACAGTAGGACCAGAGATACGAACAAATTCGGAATGGGTTAGGAACACTGAAATGTTTGTAACTTTGAAATGTAGTTCAAAATGCATAAACTCTGAGGTTTGTATCTTTGCAGTTTTACTGTAAGTCCTGAGGTGAGCATGACAGACAGCTGACTGACCTTTCTCCTCAGAGATCTTCTGCAGCAGTTCATAGTCCTCCGGTCTCTCCCGGTCCAGGTTGTGTTTCACCATGGCCTTCCTGATCACCGCCGGCGTCTTATCCTGACTGGTAACCTGGAGATCACATGATGACCACATTAAGATATTGGGATTGGCTCAACCAGACCCCACAACCACTAAACACATTGGCTGGGAATTTCTCCCTAATCGTCACCAACGCAGCAGCTCACCATGATGCTCTTGTACATGTTGCCGTTGTCCACATCCAGGCTGACCCGGATGATGCAGCAGTCATCCACCTGCTGGTTGTAGAGGGGCAGTGACAGCGACGAATAGTTGGACACACCCGACACGGAGCGCTTGTGCGAGCGGGAGCCGGCCCCCGACACGGGCGTGGAGGACATGGAGGAGGAGGAGGTGCTGCTGGAGCCCGAGCCAGAGCCCAGACCAGAGGCATCCAGGGAGGACAGAGAGGTGGACTCCCAGAACTGGAGAGAGAAGGGGGACAGCACAGGTTAGACCACAGTGCCACTTAAGAATATTGAGATGCAATCAAGGAAAGCAATGCATCTTAAACAGGTACACTTAACATGTTTGGAAACTGTTGAATGGATTCCAGTGTATTTTGACAAACACTTGGGAACACTGGAATTGAGACTGGTGTTGTTTTACATTATGAGTAATGGGACAATCCCAAGAGTGCTTGCATGAATTGCACATACCACTAACATGACATGCATGTAGAAAACACAATGAAAAATGTGGAGAGAAGAATGTGCAACCAGGTGAAACCCACAATGCTACTTCTATTGAGTTGTTATGAGTAGTATGGATACAAGGTGAACTCTTCACCCCAAACAAAGACACAACAAATGGAACCAGTCAAAACAAAAAGGTCAAGGTGCGGTGATTATCAAAGGGAGCAGACGCAGAAATCATTTCGACACCTGTACACATTTGAAAACTACTTAACACGCACACGCCATTCTCGCCCCCAAAAATGGCTACAGGGATGATGTAATGGTGATGTCACACAGATAGAAACAGTGCAAACAGCACACTCCTCTGATGATAGTGTGAAATGGCTGTGCCACAAGCTAGCGTAGGTGAAACAGAAATATGGTACAGGAAGTAGTAAAGAGTACCGTGGGTGCCAGGTCAGGCAAGGGGCCACACTTCCCTAACATGGAATTGGAATGTTTTACGGAAGGTGTGGAGGTCTACAGAAAAGGAATTAAGAGCTACAGTCACCAGTGGGCCTCACATGGGCTGTTTCTTGTGGGCTGGAAGAGTTATAATATGCTACGACAGTAGTGCCGCTATAGTGATCATACTGGTATCATGGTCTTTAAAGGTAGACTCAATGATATGACATCATCATCATACACAGTGGGGCAACTTCCTGTTTACAGATATCAACAATGACAGAATTCAATAGCACACAGTCCTCTGACAGGTTGTCATTGTAAATAGGAGTGTATTCTTAATTTACTTTCCTGTATAAATGAAGGTTAAATAGAAAAATAAAACATATCTCTCTCTCACCTTTCGCTCGTGGGCGTCGGGTGAGTCAGAGATTAAGCTGATATTTATGTCCTCGACGTCGGAGCTGCTGGAGCCGCCCGAGGTGATGCTCAGGGAGTCTGCTCCGTCACCCCTTCCACCTCCACCCGAGACCCCCATGCAGGGGGCGTAACGCAGCTGGTCAAAGGATTTGGAGTGAGAGCTGCCCGCACTGCTGCAGCCTGGCTCCGAGCTGGCCGGCTGGCGACTGAAAGAGGGAGTGAAGGGAATGGGAGGGAGAGAGGGAGGGAGGAGGGAGAGATGGGAATGAAAGTGCAAAATGAGAGGAAGAGTAAGAAAAAGAAGAATGAGTTTAAAAAATAACATTGACACAAATAGACTGTAAATCATATAGCGGGGAATTCCGACCCGAGTTAAGCACGCGTAATTGGAATGTAATTCCCTTTTTATGCACTTTTCTCTCTACACGTATTCTGACCTTGAACTTAAGCATGAGAATAGCATGCTATTCACCGGCTATTGGGTTGAGGTGGAGATCGAATAAATGAACACACACACAAACACTCACTCCATCATTTGCTCACTCACACATAATATGCACATACATTTATACTGACTCTACACACCCGCACACCCACTCACATACAAACTGCTGCTACTCTGTTTATCTTATATCCTGTTGCCTTGTCCCCTTACCCCTATACGTATCTAGCTCCATCACTCCAGTATCCCTGCACATGTAAATATGGTATTAGAATTGACTTTTAAAAATATATTTCCTGTATATAGTATGCTTACTTAATTACTTTATTGTGTATTTCATATTTCTTATTCTTATTTCTTGTGTGTTTTTTTTTTCTAGTAATACATTGTTATTGATTATTGCATTGTTGGGTTTTGAGTTTGCAAGAAAGGCATTTCACTGTACTTGTGCATGTGACATTAAAACTTGGAAACATGAAGGTGTGGCGGAGGTGTGTCTACAGATACACCGTATTCTGACCTTGACTAATTCCCTAACAATTCCACCACCTTTACGCTCGACTGAACCATGAATAAGGTCGAGAGAACCTGCTGGTTCCAAGTGGGAAAAGCATCTACTTTATTTTTTTCAATAGAAATAACAACTTACAAGAGCTATTGATAAGAGCTAAGTAACTGAGTAATCCGTTTGGATAAGGGAATTGCAAATATAAATCACACTTGTTTTAGATCTATTTTACCTTATAATCACTGGAGACAAATGTGAAACCAGTCATATGGCAACAAACTGAAGCATATCAACATATCAACTTTCCCACAGTAAAGTGGGCACTCTCGAATGTCTTAATTATAGGCTACCCCGACATTCTCTGTTTACTATTTCTATCATGTTAAATATTAGCCACTATCAGTATCGAACATCAGTAGGCCTAATAACCACACATATTCAACTGCAAATTTACTGTTAGTTCCCTTCAGTTGGTATAGCCTACATTATCATTTAATTACATTGTTTCCTTTACCTTCATTTGCCTCCTTTGTAAACACTGTCACGGCCGTGTGGTTGTTGCTGAGGATCATTAGTAACAGTTGATCATAAAAATAAAAAAACGAATTAAATCATTATGGAGCACAGACCAAGCCGTAACAGTTTGAACCCAACGCATGGCGCAATACTTGGCCGTGTCATCACACAGTTCCATAGTTAGTGCAGGCAATAGACGAGGGTATAGCCTACTATGGTACACTATTCTCCCTATTATAATGATATGTACACTAATCTTCCAACATTACAATGGGTTGAAGAACCGAATGTGGCAATTTTCAGAATTAATTTTTATTTTGTCCATAAAGGCTCTCCAAATCTGTTTTCTATGATTCATAAATACTTTCCTAAACCTAAATAATCTACAAGATCAGAGTCTTTTTAAATTTACCAATTGGTGCTGAAACAGAGACGAATATGCATATATTTAGATGGCTTTCTTTAATTGATCCCTAATATTGTGAACCTGTTCTCTCGATATATTCTAGTGAGTCTGTTGACAAAATTCTAACTAAAAAGGTACACCGTATTTAAAGGGATGGCTTATGATACTGTAAATGTACTGAAAACCCTATTGTATGAAAACTCCACGAGAAAATCTGTCGGCCAACAAGTGGGGGGGTTTTCAGCAGTTTAATAACATTTATTCAGAGCGCGCAAGGTAGCCACACCTGCAGGAGCACGTTACGCGACTGAATAAGGTAAGTCTAAAAGGCTACATTTCCTGAGTCTGAATCGGACCCATATTGCACCTATTGAATGGAAATACTTTCTACAATAATTTTGGGAGGATTTATTTCTTGACTCACTCGCTCCAGCGTTTGATGATTCCTGTGTTCTTCTTTTTCAGAGTATTGGAGGCTGACTCCGACAGCGGCTCGATCTCACACGACTGACTGTAGCTGTGGAAAACACACAAAGAAGAGTATGTGTGTGTGTTCCTGTCTTGTCAAGTCTCTAGTCCTCCCCTTCCCTCTCTTCCACTGTCCCTCTCATAATCCTCTCCTCTCTCCCGCCCTTCCATTCTAATACCTACTGTTCGTCACAATCTATTTCTGGTGTAATATGAAAATACTCTTTCATGTATTTCTAACAGAATACTCTCTGTTCCCTCTCTTACCTCTCGGCCTCAGTGAGTTTGTCCACACCGGAGAACCACTCTCGGAAACGCTTGTTGCGGGTGAAGTTATAATTGTTGCAGGCCAGCTGCAGAAGCTTGATCTGGGCAATCACCTCAAACTCCTATAAGACCAGAGGAAAGATGAGGGTGAGTATGCAGTGTCACATCTTCATCTTCATCATCATCACATATTAAATACATGTTGCATTTCTTACCTTCCTCCTCTTCTCAAAATGTATCAGCCCTCCCTGTAAGCAAGAAAATATAATGTTCTTTAGAACAGTAATTGTTTAGTGTGTAATTTTGAGGAAAGAAGGTTTGTGTTCATGCATGTGTGTGTGTGTGACTCTCACGTCCAGGTAGTCCTTCATGGCAGTATCCATCATGACTAGGTCTGTGAGGAAAGTACCCAGGTAGGGAATGGTCCCCTGCATCACACTCTGAAATACACACACACAGGCAGACAGAGACTGGGGTTAGTGTGTGTGTGTGTGGGTGCGAGCATGTGTGACTTTGCTAGTGATGAAATAATGCATTACAGACTTTTTCCCCGCTGAGGACACATGTAGATGAAAATAAAAATAAAAACAATCTGCATCTCCCTCTGTGTACAATGATTATGTTAATGATCTACCTACAGTTGGCTGTTATTGGCAGTTTAATAATTGCACAAATTATCATATGATTACACTGTAATTACAGTTAAATGAAACTGTAAAGTTGCATATCACTACTAGAGTCGTGGTCCTCTGTAGCTCAGCTGGTAGAGCACGGCGCTTGTAACGCCAAGGTAGTGGGTTCGATCCCCGGGACCACCCATACACAAAAATGTATGCACGCATGACTGTAAGTCGCTTTGGATAAAAGCGTCTGCTAAATGGCATATTATTATTATTTATTATTAGAGTGAGCTGTGAGCATTTTGCGAGTCAGAGTGATTCCATAAATAACCACTAGAGTGAGCTGTGAGCATTTTGCGAGTCAGAGTCATTCCATAAATAACCACTAGAGTGAGCTGTGAGCATTTTGCGAGTCAGAGTGATTCCATAAATAACCACTAGAGTGAGCTGTGAGCATTTTGCGAGTCAGAGTAATTCCATAAATAACCACTAGAGTGAGCTGTGAGCATTTTGCGAGTCAGAGTGATTCCATAAATAACCACTAGAGTGAGCTGTGAGCATTTTGCGAGTCAGAGTGATTCCATAAATAACCACTAGAGTGAGCTGTGAGCATTTTGCGAGTCAGAGTGATTCCATAAATAACCACTAGAGTGAGCTGTGAGCATTTTGCGAGTCAGAGTGATCCCATAAATAACCACTAGAGTGAGCTGTGAGCATTTTGCGAGTCAGAGTGATCCCATAAATAACCACTAGAGTGAGCTGTGAGCATTTTGCGAGTCAGAGTGATTCCATAAATAACCACTAGAGTGAGCTGTGAGCATTTTGCGAGTCAGAGTGATTCCATAAATAACCACTAGAGTGAGCTGTGTGTCCCTTCTATCCACCACAGAGAGAGAACAGTGAACTATGAACCCCTTGATTTTGAAAAGCAAAATACTGCTCCTCTAAGCTATCTACAGTAGATGCATTCATGATAGTCATTTGCTACAAAGTGGGCCAATTTCAAAGACAGCGATTTTAAAGTGGAGAAGAGGAGTGAGAGTGAAAGGGCAAGGGGAAAGAGTTTTGTTTGTGTGTACAGTGCCTTGCAAAAGTATTCATCCCCCGTGGTGTTTTTCCTATTTTGTTGCATTACAACCTGTCATTTAAATGGATTTTATTTGGATTTCATGTAATGGACATACACAAAATAGTACAAATTGGTGAAGTGAAATGAAAAAAACTACTTGTTTCAAAGAATTCTACAAAATAAATAACAGAAAAGTGGTGCGTTAAATAAAATCTGGTGCAACCAATTACCTTCAGAAGTCACCTAATTAGTTAGATTGCACACAGGTGGACTTTATTTAAGTGTCATATTATCTGTCACATGATCTCAGTATATATACACCTGTTCTGAAAGGCCCCAGAGTCTGCAACACCACTAAGCAAGGGGCACCACCAAGCAAGCGGCACCATGAAGACCAAGGATCTCTCCAAACAGGTCAGGGACAAAGTTGTGGAGAAGTACAGATCAGGGTTGGGTTATAAAAAAATATCAGAAACTTTGAACATCCCACAGAGCACCATTAAATCCATTATTAGAAAATGGAAAGAATATGGCACCATAACAAACCTGCCAAGAGAGGGCCGCCCACCAAATCTCACGGACCAGGCAAAGAGGGCATTAATCAGAGAGGCAACAAAGGACCAAAGATAACCCTGAAGGAGCTGTAAAGCTCCACAGCGGAGATTGGAGTATCTGTCCATAGGACCACTTTAAGCCGTACACTCCACAGAGCTGGGCTTTACGGAAGAGTGGCCAGAAAAAAGCCATTGCTTAAAGAAAAAAATAAGCAAACATGGTTGGTGTTCGCCAAAAGGCATGTGGGAGACTCCCCAAACATATGGAAGAAGGTACTCTTGTCAGATGAGACAAAAATTGAGCTTTTTGACCATCAAGGAAAACGCTATGTCTGGCGCAAACCCAACAGCTCAAATCACCCCGAGAAGACCATCCCCACAGTGAAGCATGGTGGTGGCAGCATCATGCTGTGTTGATGTTTTTCATCGGCAGGGACTGGGAAACTGGTCAGAATTGAAGGAATGATGGATGGCGCTAAATACAGGGAAATTCTTGAGGGAAACCTGTTTCAGTCTTCCAGAGATTTGAGACTGGGACAGAGGTTCACCTTCCAGCAGGACAATGACCCTAAGCATACTGCTAAAGCAACACTTGAGTGGTTTAAGGGGAAACATTTAAATGTCTTGGAATGGCCTAGTCAAAGCCCAGACCTCAATCCAATTGAGAATCTGTGGTATGACTTAAAGATTGCTGTACACCAGCGGAACCATCCAACTTGAACCATCCAACTTGAAGGAGCTGGAGCAGTTTTGCCTTGAAGAATGGGCAAATATCCCAGTGGCTAGATGTGCCAAGCTTATAGAGACATTCCCCAAGAGACTTGCAGCTGTAATTGCTGCAAAAGGTGGCTCTACAAAGTATTGACTCTGGGGGGGTGAATAGTTATGCATACTCAAGTTGTCTGTTTTTTTTGTCGTAATTCTTGTTAGTTTCACCCCAAAAAATATTTTGCATCTTCAAAGTGGTAGGCATGTTGTGTAAATGAAATGATACAACCCCCCCCAAAATCCATGTTAATTCCAGGTTGTTAGGCAACAAAATAGGAAAAATGCCAAGGGAGGTGAATACTTTCGTAAGCCACTGTATGTGTGTGTGTCTGAATGACTATGCACACCTATATGTTTGTGTGATAGTACGCTGTGTGTCTGTGTGTGTGTGTGTGTGTTAAAGTGAATGTGTCTGCAGAGTTCAGCGAGGACAGAGAGAGGGGCTGCTTTTTTTCTGTTCGATGGTGTCTTACCCGCTGGAGCGCTTCTTGACACGGCTTTAAAAAAGATGGGAGCGCTTTCATTACATCTGTCACCTCCTCTCTCTCCCCATCCGTCTCTTGAAACGTATTTCTCTATCTCTCTATCTCTCTCCCTTCTCTCTTTCCCTCTCTGTCTCTATTTCCATCTCTGTCTATCCCTCTCTCTCTTTATCTCTCTGACTGTCACGCTTTCACTTTATCTCTCCTCTTGCCCTCTTCTCTCTTTAAGTCTGTCTCCCAGGTCATTTAATTTCTCTCTTCGCTCCCTCCCTGCTTTTCATGTCATCCTCCATTTCCCTAAAGCCACTTTTTCTATCTTCCTCATCAATCTTTTTAGTCCTTTATCTCTCTCTCTGCCCAGTCCATCTTCCCCTCCTTTATTGCATTCCCTGTCTCTTAATGTCCTTACCAGGTCTCGGGGTTGCTGCTGTCTCTTCTGGGCTCGTTTGGGGTTTATTTCCAAGGTGGCAAATTTGGACGTGCCCTCCTAGACAGAGAAGAACAGACAACAAAAACACAGTGAGATCAAAGGCCTAAGCCCTATTTCAGAGATCAAATAACACCGGTTTCTGTTTTTGTTTGATAAAACATGGTTCATTAAATGAAAAAATACACACTTTTTCCTGGAATGCGTCCTGTCCTTTATCAAGCTATCAAAAGGCAAACATACAGACCCCCACATTCTACTGTAGAGGAACAGGCAGAGTAGGGATATCCCCAACTGGCACAGCCTACCACCATGCTATGATGTCACTGGGGGATTCCCCTTCAGCCACCCACCAAAAACACACCTACATATCCATAATTCACACATAACGGCTACCTCTAGCTGCCCTAATGTCTGTGTGTGTGTGCTCTGGAATTTGGGGAATGTTAGGGTTTGAGGTCTATGTGTGCATAAGAGGGCTTAGTTGCTATCCCTCCAAACCAACACACCCCCACGTCCAAGTAAAGACCAACCACCCATGACCAGCCCTTTACAGTGAGGGAAAAAAGTATTTGATCCCCTGCTGATTTTGTACGTTTGCCCACTGACAAAGACATGATCAGTCTATAATTTTAATGGTAGGTTTATTTGAACAGTGAGAGACAGAATAACAACAACAAAATCCAGAAAAACGCATGTCAAAAATGTTGTAAATTGATTTGCTTTTTAATGAGGGAAATAAGTATTTGACCCCTCTGCAAAACATGACTTAGTACTTGGTGGCAAAACCCTTGTTGGCAATCACAGAGGTCAGACATTTCTTGTAGTTGGCCACCAGGTTTGCACACATCTCAGGAGGGATTTTGTCCCACTCCTCTTTGCAGATCTTCTCCAAGTCATTAAGGTTTCGAGGCTGACGTTTGGCAACTCGAACCTTCAGCTCCCTCCCCAGATTTTCTATGGGATTAAGGTCTGGAGACTGGCTAGGCCACTCCTGGACCTTAATGTGCTTCTTCTTGAGCCACTCCTTTGTTGCCTTGGACGTGTGTTTTGGGTCATTGTCATGCTGGAATACCCCATCCACGACCCATTTTCAATGCCCTGGCTGAGGGAAGGAGGTTCTCACCCAAGATTTGATGGTACATGGCCCCGTCCATCGTCCCTTTGATGCGGTGAAGTTGTCCTGTCCCCTTAGCAGAAAAACACCCCCAAAGCATAATGTTTCCACCTCCATGTTTGACGGTGGGGATGGTGTTCTTGGGGTCATAGGCAGCATTCCTCCTCCTCCAAACACGGCGAGTTGAGTTGATGCCAAAGAGCTCCATTTTGGTCTCATCTGACCACAACACTTTCACCCAATTCTCCTCTGAATCATTCAGATGTTCATTGGCAAACTTCAGATGGGCCTGTATATGTGCTTTCTTGAGCAGGGGGACCTTGCGGGCGCTGCAGGAGATTGACAGTTATTTTGTGTTTCTTCCATTTGCGAATAATCGCACCAACTGTTGTCACCTTCTCACCAAGCTGCTTGGCGATGGTCTTGTAGCCCATTCCAGCCTTGTGTAGGTCTACAATCTTGTCCCTGACATCCTTGGAGAGCTCTTTGGTCTTGGCCATGGTGGAGAGTTTGGAATATGATTGATTGCTTCTGTGGACAGGTGTCTTTTATAAAGGTAACAAACTGAGATTAGGAGCACTCCCTTTAAGAGTGTGCTCCTAATCTCAGCTCGTTACCTGTATAAAAGACACCTGGGAGCCAGAAATCTTTCAGATTGAGAGGGGGTCAAATACTTATTTCCGTCATTAAAATGCAAATCAATTTATAACATTTTTGACATGCGTTTTTCTGGATTGCCAAGAGTGTGCAAGAACCAGGTGCGCTGTTTAGAATGGTATTTTCCCGTGAATTGCCATATGGCAAATGTTTGAAAATGATGTTTTATTGGCTGCTTCATTACATGAGTTGTACACTACCGGTCAAAAGTTTTAGAACACCTACTCATTCAAGGGTTTTTCTTCATTTGTACTATTTCCTACATTGTAGAATAACAGTGAAGACATCAACAATATGAAATAACACATATGGAATCATGTAGTAACCAAAAAAGTGTTAAACAAATCAAAATATATTTTATATTTGAGATTCTTCAAATAGCCACCCTTTGCTTTGATGACAGCTTTGCACAGATAAGAATCTCTGTTAGAAACTTAGAAAGAGGGGGAATCTAAAGATGCAACAACTAGGATGGGTTGCTAATATGACTGGGATTGTTCCTTTGGCTTCTGGACAACAAAATAAAGTTGATATGAAAACCAATAGAACAGGAGAGAAATGGGATAGCGGTGGGTCCAATAGGGAAGTAAATGGAAATACATTTGGCAAAATTATATAATTACTCCTGTCTATACATAGAATTGTGTCTATACATAAAATCATTCAAAATACTTCACCAGAAGCATTACTTAGCCACAGAGGAATCAAGGATCATTCACTTCTTTAAAAAAATAGCTGTAGGCCTATGCCTATTTGGGAAGCCCACAATTTGGGCAGCGTGCGTGACAATAGGCCTAGCTGATTATTGAGTTGCGGCTATCAGTGAAAAGCATCTAAAATATGTGTGAAGATAATGTGTCTTGAGTGCAATTTAAAATGTTGAGACAAGAAGGGGAGGGATGTGTGGCGATATAGGCGAGTCGCTCTCCAGAATGGCTGAACTGTCTCCCTCCAATTCTTGCGCATTCATTGTTTCATTTTGTGAATTGTTTGCCCTTTGATGAAAACAAATGTATTCCCCATTACACATGTCACCAGTAGTAAATGTTCCGTTAATCCCGGTCATTTGGATACATTAATTTCTGTTAATGCATGTATTAATTACAGTAATTTACCATTCTCATTCTTGGAGTGGAAACGTTTTTTGCAGAGTTCACAAGCTGCTACACTTGTGAGAAACACGTCTTGGTTGATTTAACAACCATCATTTACGAGATTTGTCATTTGTCTTTTGTTAGGAGTTTTTCCATGTGAGCAATGAGCATGTGTATGGTTTCTCTGTCCTGATAATGTTGAGGGAGTGCACGCCTGAGCATGCATAGAAACAGTTTTTAACAGGCGATTGCATTTAGAATTGTTGGGCAATGAATGTGCTTATAAAAGCACATGTTTTACTCCAGCATCAACCAGCTGAGGAGCTGCCGGAGAAATCCCACTAAAAATAGGCTCTGTATCCTCAGAATAGGCTCTGTAGACCACCAAGTGCTAACAGTCAGTATCTGGATAACGTGTAAAATGCTTGATAATGTATGTGATATCAATAGAGAGGTATATTTTCTGGGTATTTTAAATATTGACTGGCTTTCATCAGGCTGCTCACTCAAGAGAAAGCTTCAAACTGTAACTAGTGCCTGCAACCTGGTTCAGGTTATCAATCAACCTACCAGGGTAGTTACAAACAGCATAGGAATGAAATCATCAACATGTATTGATCACATCTTTACTAATGTTGGTGTCACCTGTGTCTACCTGTTCTACCTGTGTATTTATGCCTTCACTTCCCTGTGTTCCCTTGCTCAGTTTTCTCTGCTAGTTTCTCTACGCTCAGCAGTACTAATCAGTGTCTGATCGGAGAAGTGTTCAACCGGTTTCTTTATTATTTCAGTCATAGTTACTATTTCGTATTTTGGCTGTAAGCCTGTTTTTTGGGACTTATTTGCTCCACCTTTCTTTTATCGTGTTAAGTCCGTTGTTTTGTATCCTGGCTTCGGGACCACCAGTAAAGATCCTTGCACCATATCTGCCTACTGCCTACTGTCTATCCTGCACCGCACCTGGGTCACACCTCACACCAACCCTTACAAAGCAGTATCCAAATCCATTGGATGTATTGATCACAATGTATTAGCCATATCTAGGAAAACCAAAGTTTCAAAGGCTGGGCCTAATATAGTGTATAAGAGGTCATACAAGAAGTTTTGTAGTGATTCCTATGTTGTTGATGTAAAGAATATTTGTTGGTCTATGGTGTGTAATGAGGAGCAACCAGATGCTGCACTTGACACATTTATGAAATAGCTTATCCCAGTTACTAATAAGCATGCACCCATTTAAGAAAATGACTGTAAACTGTTACTGAAAAACTGATGAGGAATTGAAAAATTGTCTGGTTGTACAACCGATTGGCAAACGTACTGCAAATTGAGAAATCATGTGATGAAACTGAAGAAAAAAAAAAAGAAACAACACTATGAAACAAAGATAAATGACATAAAGAATGATAGTAAAAAGCTTTGCAGCACCTTAAATGAAATATTGGGAAAAAGGGCAAACTCCACTCCATCATTCATTGAATCAGATGGCTCATTCAAATCAAATCAAATCAAATGTTATTTGCCACATGCAAGGAATACAACAGGTGTAGACATTACCGTGAAATGCTTACTTACAGCACTTAACCAACAATGCATTTATTATTTAATAAAAAGGTAAAATAAAACAACAACAACAAAAAAGTGTTGAGAAAAAAAGAGCAGAAGTAAAATAAAATAACAGTAGGGAGGCTATATACAGGGGGGGGTACCGGCTAGTTGAGGTAGTTGAGGTAATATGTACATGTGGGTAGAGTTAAAGTGACTATGCATAAATAATTAACAGAGTAGCAGCAGCGTAAAAAGATGGGGTGGGAGTGGGGGGGCAGTGCAAGTAGTCCGGGTAGCCATGATTAGCTGTTCAGGAGTCTTATGGCTTGGGGGTAGAAGCTGTTGAGAAGCCTTTTTGGAGCTAGACTTGGCGCTCTGGTACCGCTTGCCGTGCCGTAGCAGAGAGAACAGTCTATGACTAGGGTGGCTGGAGTCTTTGACAATTTTGAGGGCCTTCCTCTGCCTGGTATAGAGGTCCTGGATGGTAGGAAGCTTGGCCCCAGTGATGTACTGGGCTGTATGCACTACCCTCTGTAGTGCCTTGCGGTCGGAGGCCGAGCAGTTGCCATACCAGGTGGTGATGCAACCAGTCAGGATGCTCTCGATGGTGCAGCTGTAGAACCTTTTGAGGATCTGAGGACCCATGCCAAATCTTTTCAGTCTCCTGAGCGGGAATAGGCTTTGTCGTGCCCTCTTCACGACTGTCTTGGTGTGTTTGGACCATGATAGTTCGTTGGTGATGTGGACACCAAGGAACTTGAAGCTCTCAACCTGTTCCACTACAGCCCCGTCGATGAGAATGGGGGTGTGCTCAGTCCACTTTTTTTTCCTGTAGTCCACAATCATCATTTTTTCATTGGCAAGATTAGCAAACTTAGGCATGACATGCCAGCAACAAACCCTGACACTACACATCCAAGTATATCTGACAAAATTATGAAAGATAAGCATTGTAATTTTGAATTCCGTAAAGTAAGTGTGGAAGAGGTGAAAATATTATTGTTGTCTATCAACAATGACAAGCCACCGGGGTCTGACAACTTGGATGGAAAATTACTGAGGATAATAGCGGATGATATTGCCACTCCTATTTGCCATATCTTCAATTTAAGCCTACTAGAAAGTGTGTGCCCTCAGGCCTGGAGGGAAGCAAAAGTTATTCCCCTACCTAAGTATAGTAAAGCCCCCTTTACTGGCTCAAATAGCTGACCAATCAGCCTGTTACCAACCCTTTGTAAACTTTTGGAAACAATTGTGTTTGACCAGATACAATGTTATTTTACAGTAAACGAATTGACAAGACTTTCAGCACACTTATAGGGAAGGACATTCAACAAGCATAGCACTTACACAAATGACTGATAATTGGCTGAGAGAAATCGATGATAAAAAGATTGTTGGGGCTGTTTTGTTAGACTTCAGTGCGGCTTTTGACATTATTGATCATAGTCTATTGCTGGAAAAACATATGTGTTATGGCTTTCTGGATAAAGAGTTACCTGTCTAACAGAACACAGAGGGTGTTCTTTAATGGAAGCCTCTTCAACAAAATCCAGATAGAATCAGGAATTCCCCAGGGCAGCTGTCTAGGCCCCTTACTTTTTTCAATCTTTACTAACAACATGCCACTGGCTTTGAGTAAAGCCAGTGTGTCTATGTAGTGCTAACTGTGCCACTAGAGATCCTGGTTTGAATCCAGGCTCTGTCGCAGCCGGCCGCGACCGGGAGACTCATGGGCGGTGCACAATTGGCCCAGCGTCGTCCAGGGTAGGGGAGGGAATGGCTGGCAGGGATGTAGCTCAGTTGATAGAGCATGGCGTTTGCAATGCCAGGGTTGTGGGTTCGATTCCCACGGGGGGCCAGTATAAAAAAATAAATAATGTATTCACTAACTGTAAGTCGCTCTGGATAAGAGCGTCTGCTAAATGACTAAAATGTAAATGTATGTATGCGGATGACTCAACAATATACACGTCAGCTACCACAGCGACTGAAATGACTGCAACACTTAACAAAGAGCTCCAGCATGGCTCCCTGCGCTGCCAATGCGCTTTGATACTGTGCTGCCTCCGCTGGGTCCATATTGGCTCAGTTTTCTGTAAGGGTTGGTGTGAGGTGTGACCCAGGTGCGGTGCAGGATAGACAGTAGGCAGTAGGCAAGGATGGTGAAACAAGGATCTTTACTGGTGGTCCCAAAACCAGGATACAAAACAACGGACTACACACGAAAACAAATGAGGAGCACATAGGTCTAAAAAAAAAACAGGCTGACAACAGACAATACGAAATACTAACTCTGACTGGAAAAACACAATGACACAAGAAGAACACTTCTCGAGTACCTGTAACTCCGTCACGTGATCCGACACTGATATGTACTGCTTGACATCAAGGAACTAGCACAGAAAACTGAGCAAGGGAACACAGGGAAGTGAGGGCATAAATACACAGGTGAATCAGATAGCCACAGGTGACACCAATAGGCAGATAATTAGTACCGACTGTGAGTGAGGAGGTGCCTATGGTTGTCGGAGGATGACACCTAGTGGGTCGCTCCGGAACTGCGACCCACTCCTGTAACACAGGCTAACGGAAACCCTGACGTATACACACACACACACACACACACACATATCCTACCTTGATGAGCAGCTCTCTGCTGAGCGAATGGTTATTTTCGTCTGAGAAGATTTCTGACAACTCGTGGAAGATGCGGAAGTTCTCCCTGGACACCTCGTCCCATGTCCTCTTCAGCCGGTGGACCGGGTTGCACTGCAGAGCAGAAAGGATGGCCCGCAGCGAAGAAAAGTTCTTCAGGATTCGACACTCCTGAAGGGAAAAAAGACAGTATGAATATCAATGAACTCAATTAAGCGCCGGGGGCAAATCAATCCAATGTATTATTAAGGAGACGGAAGCTTCAGAACTTTTTTTACTAAAAGAAAACCAAGTCTTTTGAACATAGCATTATGGGTACTGTAGTCATCATGCTACACAACACACACTGTGCCTCTGCAGGACTGAAGCTGAGGACACCTCAGAATCCCATGCCAACAACAACAACAACAAGAACTCCTGCTAACAACAGCTCCTCACCCTGGCCACTTCGATCCAGCGCTCCACCAGCTTGGCGCGCTGGATGGGTTTGAGTGAACGCTCGCTCAGGCAGGTGGCGATGACACAGTTGGTGACGCAGTTGAACTGCGTGACAGTGGCACGAATGGTGGGTGCCAGATGCTCCTTGCCCTTCTTGTCCCGTTGCGACCAGATACTCCCTAGACAGTGGTAGGGGACCACCTTCTTAAAGAGCTCCTATGAGGAAAAAGGGGAGTAAGAAAGAGGGGGTTTAGAGAAAAACAAGAAAACAAAATGGAGGCTTGGTCTCTTGTCACAACCAGTGATGTATTTTAGATTAGTTTAACATGTCGGTAGGAAAGCCTTTGGAGTGACATTTGTTTATGAGTGGTAACTCAACAGCGGAGTGGGCATAAAGCCCTCTGTGTCTTCTGTCTCTCCTCACTTTTTCTGTCTCTCCTCACTTCCTGAGTTAACTAACAGGACCTGAAGACCAGCCAAGGAAGCCCCTTGGCATATAGTCCTGCATTGGGTCGCATACCCATGGTTCCCTGAAGTTGATCCGCAAAAAAATCAGCTGGTGGGTGGATTGAAATCATTCTCGAAAACGTTTTAAATCAAGATAATATATTTTTTACAAACACAGGAGCTTGTTGTGAGGAATTGTGTTGTGAATTCCATTAGGCTAGGTGAGCGGTGAGGCAGACATAGCCTAGACCTAGGTTACCAGCCATGCAGCGAGAGAGTGGAGCAGGGAACTGTCCATTATTTGTGTGGTGCTGAAACATTCCTAATTTGTCCACGTGCAGAGCTTATATATTGCCTTCCGCCACGCGACAATATGTTGCCAAGTTTATTTCCCTGACTCCTAGCTCACACGAAAATGGCTAACGTAACAGGAGAAATAAAAAGAAAGGTTATGATGGCTACACCATCATGGAAACGTGCTGCGTGAGTGAAATCCCCGGACCGCAACCCGGTAGATGGATGCAAAAGTGCAAGCAGGTATTTGTTTACAATAATTTAGTTAATTATTATTTTAATTCAGGATTTCGTTCATTTAGACCATACACAGGCCATATAAAGTTTAAACCTGTGAGGCTGGTAAAAGTTTGAGTAGCCAACAGCCTCCTAAATAAATGTAGCCCAGGCAATTTTTGCAGCATATAGCCTATTTGATTCTTGGAACTGTTTATTTAAGTTTCAATTAAACTATTTGATTATCTAAACGATATTGATTGTAAAGGTATTGTTTTGTTATGTCGGCTATTAGGCTTTCATTAGGTAAGAATTAGAAGAAGTTGTCAATATGCCGCATCGCATTGTAAAAATGAGAAGATAGGCATGTTTTCCTTTTATCCAAACAAGTTAATTCATGAGAATGGGAATAGCCTAAAAGCCTACTACTTTGGAGTCATAAAAACTATTGAATAAATTGTCCTGTTTATTATCAGGTGGGGCTCAGAATTGATGTGGCTGGAGTGGGGCAGGTGCGGCTCCAAAAAACTGGCCCGTGCAGGACTCTACCTCGGCTCCAATGCTCGCAAGAGGATAAGATTTTTGGGGAGTTTGTATCATTTGATTTACACAACATGCCTACCACTTTGAAGATGCAAAACATTTTTTGGGGTGAAACAAACAAGAAATAAGACAAGAAAACAGAACTTGAGCGTGCATAACTATTCACCCACCCAGAATCAATACTTAGGGCGGCAGGTAGCGTAGTGGTTAAGAGCGTTGTGCCAATAACCGAAAGGTCGCTGGTTCTAATCCCCGAGCCGACTAGGTGAAAAATCTGCCGATGTGCCCTTGAGCAAGGCACTTAACCCTAATTGCTCATGTAAGTCGCTCTGGATAAGAGCGTCTGCTAAATGACTAAAATGTTTGTAGAGCCACCTTTTACAGCTGCAAGTTTCTTGGGGAATGTCTCTATAAGCTTGGCACATCTAGCCACTGGGATTTTTGCCCATTCTTCAAGGCAAAACTGCTCCAGGTCCTTCAAATTGGATGGGTTCCGCTGGTGTACAGCAATCTTTAAGTCATACCACAGACTCTCAATTGGATTGAGGTCTGGGCTTTGACTAGGCCATTCCAAGACATTTAAATGTTTCCCCTTAAACCACTCAAGTGTTGCTTTAGCAGTATGCTTAGGGTCATTGTCCTGCTGGAAGGTGAACCTCCGTCCCAGTCTCAAATCTCTGGAAGACTGAAACAGGTTTCCCTCAAGAATTTCCCTATATTTAGCGCCATCCATCATTCCTTCAATTCTGACCAGATTCCCAGTCCTTGCCGATGAAAAACATCCCCACAGCATGATGCTGCCACCACCATGCTTCACTGTGGGGATGGTGTTCTCGGGGCGATGAGAGGTGTTGGGTTTGTGCCAGACATAGCGTTTTTCTTGATGGCCAAAAAGCTCAATTTTAGTCTCATCTGACCAGAGTACCTTCTTCCATATTTTTTTCTTTAAGCAATGGCTTTTTTCTGGCCACTCTTCCGTAAAGCCCAGCTCCTATGGACAGATACTCCAATCTCCGCTGTGTAGCTTTGCAGCTCCTTCAGGGTTATCTTTGGTCTCTTTGTTGCCTCTGACTAATGCCCTCCTTGCCTGGTCCGTGAGTTTTGGTGTGCAGCCCTCTCTTGGCAGGTTTGTTGTGGTGCCATATTCTTTCCATTTTTTAATAATGGATTTAATGGTGCTCCATGGGATGTTCAAAGTTTCTGATATTTTTTTATAATCCACATAAAAATCCATTTAAATTACAGGTTGTAATGCAATAAAATAGCACAAACGCCAAGGGGGATGATTACTTTTGTAAGGCAATGTATGTGCTGTTGGGTATCGGATCAAAGTGTTCTGAGTTTTAGTGATGTTTTGGCATCTTACCGCGTCCATGAGGGTGAACTGCTCGGCCACCACCACCGGGTCAAAGTTCAGGAAGTCCAGTCGGTCAACCTCGTAGCCATTCTCCTCCAATAAGGTGAAAGGATGGTCCAGCACTGAGGGATGACATCACAACTCATTACGTCAAACACACTTTCACCACATTTGATGAGCGGCTGGGGTTAGTAAAGTCCTTAATGTAGTGAAGTGAGGGCCACCACACTCAGATATAACTTTCGTTGAAGATGTGGATCGAAATGTTGTAAGCTAATACAGGTGTGTGTTAGACTAATAGTGCATCTGACTGTGCTGGTCCTACTTTACTGCATGACACCCACGACCACGTCACACAACAAGGGATTCACAAACAACAGTGTTCTCTTATTTGGAATAACACCCAAAACATCTCTGGCCTTCCACTAATACTAATTATATGGACTCTCCATGACCATGTTTAGGAGCTGGGGTCAGGGTTCAAAGTGCATAAGTTTAGTTGGGGGTTAAGGGAGTGTCTTACACTCACGCTCGGGCTCTTGGAGCTGCCGGCGGTGGAAGTGGGCCAGGAGGTTGCAGGCACGGCGTTCCAGGTCCGATCCCGGGAAGTTGAGATGCAGGTAGGAAATGAGCCGTCGCAGGCAGCTGTACTCCGGAGGCTTCCAGAAGTCCTCAGAGTAGTGGTCAAGCCATGCCCCCAAGATGGAGGATATCGTGCTGAGAGAGAGAGAGAGAGAGAGAGAGAGAGAGAGAGAGAGAGAGAGAGAGAGAGAGAGAGAGAGAGAGAGAGAGAGAGAGAGAGAGAGAGCGAGAGCGAGAGCGAGAGAGAAAGCAAATAGCTGAGTCTACCTTTAATAATGATAAAAAAAGAGAGGGAAATGGAGTGGAGAGATAGGAAAGATAAAGTACATAGAGAGAGGGGTGTATCAAGTTAAGGATAAGGAAGGGAGAGTGGACAAATAAAGGGACTAGCTACATTAAAGTCACAGGACAGGAAAGAGATATACAGTACCAGTCAAAAGTTTGGACAACTACTCATTCAAGGGTTTTTCTTTATTTTTACTATTTTCTACATTGTTGAATAATAGTGAAGACATCAAAACTATGAAATAACACATATGGAATCATGTAGTAACCAAAACAGCGTTAAACAAACGGCTGCTTTTCCTTCACTCTGCCGTTCGACTCATCCTAAACCATCTGGCCAGGTTATCTGATGCAGCACTCCATCATCACTCTCCTTCTTGGTAAAATAGCCCTTGCACAGCCTGAAGGTATGTTGGGTCATTGTCCTGTTGTAAAACAAATGATAGTCCCACTAAGCCCAAACCAGATGGAATGGCGTATCACTGCAGAATGCTGTGGTAGCCATGCTGGTAAAGTGTGCCTTGAATTCTACATAAATCACAGACAGTGTCACCAGCAAAGCACCCCCACACCATAACATCTCCTCCTCCATGCTTTACGGTGGGAAATATACATACGGAGATCATCCATTCACCCACACCGCGTCTCACAAAGACACGGCAGTTGGAACCAAAAATCTCAAATTTGGACTTCAGACCAAAGGACACATTTCCAAAGGTCTAATGTCCATTGCTCGTGTTTCTTGGCCCAAGCAGGTCTCTTCTTATTATTGGTGTCCTTTAGTAGTGGTTTCTTTGCAGCAATTCGACCATGAAGGCCTGATTCACACAGTCCCCTATGAACAGTTGATGTTGAGATGTGTCTGTGGCTTGAACTCTGTGAAGCATTTATTTGGTCTGCAATTTCTGAGGCTGGTAACTCTAATGAACTTATCCTCTGCAGCAGAGGTAACTCTGGGTCTTCCATTCCTGTGGTGGTCCTCATGAGAGCCAGTTTCATCATAGCGCTTGATGGTTTTTGCGACTGCACTTGAAGAAACGTTCAAAGTTCTTGAAATTGTCCGTATTGACTGACCTTCCTGTCTTAAAATAATGATGGACTGTCGTTTCTCTTTGCTTATTTGAGTTGTTCTTGCCATAATATGGACTTTTACCAAATAGGGCTATCTTCTGTATACCCCCCCTACCTTGTCACCACACAACTGTGTCTCTGTTTTCTGTCACTGTACAGTATGTGTTGAAAATGAGGCTACAATGTGTGTCTGAATCAGACAGAGACTTACTTCCTCAGCTCTGTGCGATCATCGTGAGTCAGTATGTGGCCCTCTGAGCCAGGCAGGTGCTGGAGCTTGGCATACCTGAACACAGATTCATCAGTTTGTTAGTCGTCTATCCATCCATTCATATATCCATTCCTGTATCAATACATTCATTCCTCCACCCTCTATTCATCATGCATCACTCCATCCACCCACCTTTTCCTTCCATCTATAATTCTTCCACCAATCAACCGATGGATCCACCCATGCATACATCCGTAAATTCATCCATTTATGCACCAATGTATCCCTCCCTCTCTCCCCCTCTACTCACCTGTTGAGCAGTAGGTCCAGGACCTGCTTGGTGGAGGCGAAGGAGCGGTAGGTGCAGAGGAAGATGGTAACGTAGGTGGAGTCGTTGCCCCGGAACGCCGCCACCATGTACTCCACCAGCTTCTCCAGCGTGCCTGCCTTGATGGTGCGCACCTTGCACGTCTCGTACAGGCTGAGGGCTGCGTCTGTCTCCACACCTAGCCAGCGTTGGCCCTTAATGGCCCCGCTGCCGCCACCGTGGTGGCCAGGGTGGTGGTGGTGGTGGAGCATCTGCACCTTCCGCAGGGTGATGGTGTATACCGCCCCGTCCTCCACCTCCTCGCCAATCTCCTGGGTCGCATTCTGGAAGACAGAGGGAAAAAGTGAGAGTTAGAGAAAGGTTTAGATCTTCTTTCTTTTTTATTATAACACACATGTGAAAACAAAATGAAGCCTGAGGTAAGTGCTGGTTTTTCATTAGTTACACATCGAACCATGCATTACATATAACCATTGATTAATAGACTACATGTATATTGCTGTGAAATAAATTATTGGAGTATTCCCTTTCACACATTATTGGTATTATTGCGTGACAATTTTAGAAGGAAGTGATTTTATTTGCCTCTGGTCTAGGCTATAGTCCCATTATCCAGTGACAGACATCACAACGCTTTTGGCCTCTCTCCCTCTGTTGATTTGTTGGGCTAACACTCATATCACTCTGGCCAAACAATATTCACTCCACCATCCTGTGACCATTTGTTCAATATGGATTATTGTTCTATCAGAGTCCAACTCAATACCTCACAATTGAACTAACCCCTAGCCTCAGGCCAAAACCAATTATGGCACTCGACTCGATGTTTTGCCACAAGCTGTTCCCTGTAGTTTTTGGTTCCCCAGCCAGCTGCTCACCAGCACGACACAGCACAGGGAACGACACAGAACAGGGCACAGAACAGGGCACAGAACAGGGTACAGAACAGGGTACAGAACAGGGTACAGAAAAGGGTACAGAACAGGGTCCAGCACAGAGCTTGCCTTCTTATCAGTTGGCATACAGGATGTGGATAAGGGCTGATAGCAGAAGCGGATGTTCATAAATAGAGTGAGGACTGAACAGCTGTGGTGGTAGAGGATGGACATTATGGGCTCAGGCTTGCATGCAGACACATTGGGCGATATGTTGACGGTATAAAATAAATACAACCCCCCCCCCCCCCCAGTTTTTAAAGCAACTGCTATTGCTTTAGACTTTTTAGCACTGCACTTGTTTCAAAAAGGTTTGGAATAAAACAATTTTTTGTGATTGCATCTATCTGGGATTGCATTGATTGATTCACAATGCAAAGTTTTGACCACAATGTCGAATGCCACTGCCAAGTTAAACCGTAGATAGGGGACACCCATGCATCAGATGGGTCAACGTTGAAGGCAGACAGCCTTTCTGTGACGTGCTGAGGAAGTTTTGAGCTGGACTGAACGTGAGCATGTGCAGTGTCGCATATGCAGTATCAGTGTCAGTCTGTGCCAAGAAAGCTAATCTGAGAACAGTTATGCTGTGATGTTTACGACTATATAAACACTCAGTCTCATGACTGATACGTTCGTTAAGCTATTATAGGTCAGAATATATTGTACATGCTACAGCAATCTTTTGTTCTGGCCTACCAGTAACATGGTGAATTCTACTAATAAACTACTCATGGTTTTCATTCAAGACTTTCATTAGGAGAATCGGATGTGTTAGTGCTTGGTTGGAACGAAGGCCTGCACCTACATCCAGAACGCACATAGAGTATACGAACAGTATATGTTTTAGCTAACTTCAAGAACGAAAAAGAGAGAGAGAGCGCCTCTTCTACATGAGGGGGATAAGAAGAAAACATAGAAGGGTTTGGCAGGGTGAGGGAATGTAATCGCTCAAGGAGAGCGGACACAGATGCTGCATTGTTGTTGTTTTGTCTGCCTGCCTGCCTGCCTGCCTGCCTGCCTGCCTGCCTGCCTGTCTGTCTGTCTGTCTGTCTGTCTGTCAATCTATCTGCCTTTTAGTCTGGCTCCGGCATTGTCTGGCTGTTCTGGTATGTCATCCAACACACTCCAGATAACCATGGCTCCAAAGAGAGTTATGTCAGTTCCAGTTTGTTTGTATTGTATGTGTGTACTGTGTGTGTGTGTGTGTGTGTGTGTGCACGCGTGCGTGCAGTGTGTGTACAGTACATCAGATCTGACCCTGTGTGTGAGTATTTGTGAGAGTGTGTATGTCAAGAGTTTCAACTGCTATAGAACTCCCCAAAATGTCTGCTTTTAATATAGTAGGATTTATGTAGTGAGGATATACCTACAGCTAGGTACAGTTACACTAAAATAGACACATGTATGGTCTGTTTATGGTGTTGCTATGACAACGGGAGGGAGATCACACACACACGGGCGCACACACACACAATAACACACACACACACGCACACACACACACTAGATGTGCTGAAAGGCACATTAGGAAGGGGTTGTCAATCAACAGGCTCCAATTGGTGAGTCACCAGATAGCTAGGACCCCACAGTTGGCTTACGCACCCACATGCGCACACACACAAAATCACAGGCACACATATTCGCACACACACACAGAACCCAGCACCATTCACAATGACCAACTGACTTTTCATAGTATGTACAACAAACTGAGAGCACTGAAAGCCTTTGGATTACTTTGACAATCTTAAAGTGTCAGTCCAGCCAGGTCCGGTTCAGTTTCCCCTCGAAGTGACTCAGGGTCTTAAAATCCTGTCACACACACACACACCTCCCTGCCCCCCTTCTGGCAGGCGCTCTGACTACCACAAGCTTGAAATCCTCGGCTTCCCCTCATCTCTACCTTTCTCCATCTCTCCCTCTAGCTGTCTCTGTGTGGTTCCTCTCAATATTATAATTATTACAGACATTCCACTGGCGCTCCACAGGCACTCTCACCCTGCCGCCATCGATTGAGAGACGGGGGGGGGGGGGGAGAGATTCAGACATAGAAGATAAAAAGGAAAGAGGGATGACAGAAAGAAAGAAAGAGAGAGACAAAAGGAGATAAAAAGTGAGGGGGAGAGGGACGTTTGTGCATGTGTATAATCAGTGTGCATGTGTGTCTGTGTGTGTGTGTTCATGTGTGTGTGTGCGTGTTCGTGTGTGTGTGTGTGTGTGTGTGTGTGTGGTACTAAGACAAAGCCATGCTGCTGTGAGAGGGGTTATTGTGGCCTATTCTGGGAAAACTTCAAACACACAGCACACGGACGCTTAGTCATAGACTTGAGAGGGGGGTTACAAGAGGAGCCTTGAAGTTTGGGCACTTCTCTCCTCTCGGTGGAGAGAGGGGGAGGAGATAGAAGGGAGATGGGAAGATGAGAAGAAGGGACCTCACACATACACACTGCACGTACACTCCTGGCTCTAGTTATGAGGAGCACTTATGTCTGCCTGTATATGTCTACTTCGTCTGACATACACATGGCGCAGCACTGCCAAGTGGTGGGTTTGTGTGTGTGTGGGACATTGAACTAACTACTAGTTCTTCCTAGGGAAAATAGAGAAAAGGCAGTTACTAAAATAGGAAAAGGACATACTGACAGACACTTCCTAGACAACTGTGTGTGTGTGTGTGTGTGTGTGTCCTTTATTGGACAAGAGAAAGGTATGACATCCTTCCTCTGGAATCAGACCACATGACCTTCTCCCATTCCTCCTCTGGATCATCCAGATGGTCATTGGCAAACTTCAGACGAGCCTGGACATGCGCTGGCTTGAGCAGGGGGACCTTGCGAGTGCTGCAGGATTTTAATCCATGACGGCGTAGTGTGTTACTAATGGTTTTCTTTGAGACTGTGGTCCCAGCTCTCTTCAGGTCATTGACCAGGTCCTGCCGTGTAGTTCTGGGCTGATCCCTCACCTTCCTCATGATCATTGATGCCCCACGAGGTGAGATCTTGCATGGAGCCCCAGACCGAGGGTGATTGACCGTCATCTTGAACTTCTTCCATTTTCTAATAATTGCGCCAACAGTTGTTGCCTTCTCACCAAGCTGCTTGCCTATTACCTGTAGCCCATCCCAGCCTTGTGCAGGTCTACAATTTTATCCCTGATGTCCTTACACAGCTCTCTGGTCTTGGCCATTGTGGAGAGGTTGGAGTCTGTTTGATTGAGTGTGTGGACAGGTGTCTTTTATACAGGTAACGAGTTCAAACAGGTGCAGTTAATACAGGTAATGAGTGGAGAACAGGAGGACTTCTTAAAGAAAAACTAACAGGTCTGTGAGAGCCGGAATTCTTACTGGTTGGTAGGTGATCAAATACTTATGTCATGCAATAAAATGCAAATTAATTACTTAAAAATCATACAATGTGATTTTCTGGATTTTTGTTTTAGATTCCGTCTCTCACAGTTGAAGTGTACCTATGATAAAAATTACAGACTTCTACATGCTTTGTAAGTAGGAAAACCTGCAAAATCGGCAGTGTATCAAATACTTGTTCTCCCCACTGTAGGACTCGTTTTATTGTCGATATAGATACTTTTGTACCTGTTTCCTCCAGCATCTTCACAAGGTCCTTTGCTGTTGTTCTGGTATTGATTTGCAGTTTTCGCGCCAAAGTACGTTCATCTCTAGGAGACAGAACGCGTCTCCTACCTGAGCGGTATGACGGCTGCGTGGACCCATGGTGTTTATACTTGCGTACTATTGTTTGTACAGATGAACGTGGTACCTTCAGGTGTTTGGAAATTGCTCCCAAGGATGAACCAGACTTGTGGAGGTCTACCATTTTTTGTCTGAGGTCTTGGCTGATTTATTTTGATTTTCCCATGATCTCAAGCAAAGAGGCACTGAGTTTGAAGGTAGGCCTTGAAATACATCCACAGGTACACCTCCAATTGACTCAAATTATGTAAATTAGCCTATCAGAAGCTTCTAAAGACATCATTTTCTGGAATTTTCCAAGCTGTTTAAAGGCACAGTCAACTTAGTGTATGTAAACTTCTGACCCACTGAAATTGTGATACAGTGAAATATAAGTGAAATAATCTGTCTGTAAACAATTGTTGGAAAAATTACTTGTGTCATGCACAAAGTAGATGTCCTAACCGACTTGCCAAAAATATAGTTTGTTAACAAGAAATGTGTGGATTGGTTAAACACTAGTTATAATGACTCTGACCTAAGTGTATGTAAACTTCCGACTTCAACTGTACAAATTACAAATTACAAAGTACAAAGAGGTGGTTACGTTGATGCTTAGTAGTGCCACAATTTCTATGGAATAAGCAAGCCCACTCACATAATCAAACATTTGGACTCTGTGAGCTACACAATACAGTACCAGTCAAAAGTTTGGACACACCTACAGTCGTGGTCAAAAGTTTTGAGAATGACACAAGTATTGGTCTTCACAAAGTTCGCTGCTCCAGTGTTATGAGATATTTTTCAGATGTTACTATGGTATACTGAAGTATAATTACAAGCATTCCATTAGTGTCAAAGGCTTTTATTGACAATTACATTAAGTTTATGCAAAGAGTCAATATTTGCAGTGTTGACCCTTCTTTTTCTGACCTCTGCAATCCGCCCTGGTATGCTGTCAATTAACTTCTGGGCCACATCCTGACTGATGGCAGCCCATTCTTGCATAATCAATGCTTGGAGTTTGTCAGAATTTGTGGGTTTTTGTTTGTCCCCCGGCCTTTTGAGTATCGACCACAAGTTCTCAATGGGATTAAGGTCTGGGGAGTTTCCTGGCCATGCACACTCTTGGCATTCTCTCAACCAGCTTCACCTGGAATGCTTTTCCAACACTCTTGAAGGAGTTCCCACATATGCTGAGCGCTCGTTGGCTGCTTTTCCTTCACTCTGCGGTCCAACTCATCCCAAACCATCTCAATTGGGTTGAAGTCGGGTGATTGTGGAGGCCAGGTCATCTGATGCAGCACTCCATCACTCTCCTTGTGTTTGAGTAGGATAAACTAGCGAGCTGCATTCACTAGCTAAGTAAGTGAAAGTGAAAATAACAACAAAATAT